TCCTTCAAAAAAAAAAAAAAAAAAATTTTAAATAATTTCAAAAAATAATTATTTGGAGAAATTGGAATTTTTCGCCAAAAAATTGAGGGATGGTAACGCAGAGAGGAGAGAAAAAAAAAGAAACTTTATAATGATAGTTGTTAATTATCGGTCGTTGACTAATTTTTAGCGATGTTGCGTTTTTTAATCATAAAAAGAAAAATAGAAAGGAGAGACAAGAAGAATGAGTGAAAGCGCGAATGACAAAACCTAAAAATTCTTGTTAACAAGAATTTCCAATTTAATTATATAAATAATAAGAAAACGATTTTTATCAAATAATGAATTTTATATCTATCTGTATAATATGAAAAAAAAAAAATTAAGAGCAAACCTTAAATTATAATTTTTAAGTTATATATAAAAAAAAGGTTTGAGTAATTAATAATTTGTACAGAGAGAGAGAGAGAGAAAAAATTTTCCAAAAATTATTCTAACAGAAATATTAGAAATTAAGTGTTTTTATCATTTACTTGAAACGAATATAGAAATAATTTATTAGATTTATAAATATAACTATATAAAATTAGAAAACATAGGATGAGATTCGCGGATTTCACTTTTTATTTGTCGGTTTAAAACAAAAAATATTCCAGTACTCCTGTATCCCCTCCCTCGCTCCAAAATGAAAAAACACAATCAGAAACATTTTACTATTACTGCTACTATACTATTATTATTATTATTATTATTATTATTATTATTATTACTATTAAACAAACATATATATATAATATATTAATATACTTAACGGTGTTTCTAGTGGATTAATTGAATTATTGATACTTAAGATATAATATTAATATTAATGATATATATTATTATATATACATACAGCTATATATTGAACATAAGTTGATATAACTAGTACGATTATAATACATATATATATATACCTATTATAGAGAAAAGTGGATCATTCATAAAGTATACCTGGTGATTAAATAGGAAATTATATGGAAATTATATTATCTTGTTAATTTCTATCAAATTCCTACCTTTAGTTATTAAAATTAATTATTAGTTTTTAAAAAAAATAATTTAGTAAAATAAAAAATATATATATAAGATGTTTAAAACACTGCACAATTGAATTAAGAAAAGAATTTAAAAAAAAAAAAGTTGCGATTAATATTTAGCCCTGTGGCACTTGCCCTCCCCACCCATGAGAATTATTTCTCTCACGTTCTCTGTTTTCAAGAAACTTATTATTTTTTTTTTTTTTTTTTACCTTAAATCTTGAGAAAAAATACTTTTTATATCTTCTATTTTATAATATACATAATTTATTTTAAAAAAATTGCAAGAACGTGTCTCACATACAAATTGAAACGAGTTCCGGAGGGTTAAATGGATTTTACAAATATTAATTTAAAAAAAAAAAGTTGGAAGAATTTTTTTTATTTGGAAGTTTTTAATTTGGATATAATAAAATTAATATTTGAAAAATATATTACTAAATTGGAAAATTTATATAAAATTAAAATAATAATAAAAATAAAGGAAACTATGGAGCTAACAATAAGTTTAATATCAAAACATAACCTCAAAATAAAAATGCTTATATAGATTTTTTAAAAAGGAAACGATAATTTTAATTATTTCTAAAAAAAAATTTGTTGTAATAATAATTATTTTGTTCATTTATTGAAAATATAATTTATTTAAAAAATTTTAACGCATTTTCAAACTCAACATTTTTTTTACGTTTAATATTTTTTAAATAAATTATTTTCAACTGAATTGTACTGAATCTGTTAAAAAGGATAACATATAACATAACCTCAAAACTGAAAAATGGTTTTTAATGGAAAAAAAAATTTAATAAAAATTAATTTCGAACAATATTTTAGTAGATTTTGTTTTTCGGAAAAATTACATTGGATAAAAATCCTTTTGTTAAATAATTATTATTTTTTTTTTTCATTTTTAACAAAAATTGCAATTTTTATAACAATAGCTTCTTTTATTCAGTGAAACATTCTCTACAATCGTAAATTTTTTTTCACTTGTTAAAAGTATATATGTTGTTAAAAATTCTAAATATAAGTTTTATTTATTAAATAATTTTTGAAGAAAATATTTTTTAAAATATTGAAAAAAAATTACGATTGTAGAAAATGTTTTACTGAGTAAAATAATCTGTTTATAAAAATTGGATAAAAATTGCGATTTTATCAATTATGAAAAGAAAAAAGTCGAAATTATTATTTTTTTTAAAATTGTATGAACAATTCTTTCAAAATATAATAAAATTAAATCCCTTGTGTATTATTCTTTTATTTTCTCTACAAAAGCATTTTTAGTTTGAGAGATTATGTGAAACTTCTCAATAAATAATATTGAAAATAGTAAATTTATAAAGCTTTGTCAATTTTTAAAAGTTGAATTTTTTTTTCAATTATTAAAAATTAAAATTTAAATTTAAAAATTTTTTTTTTTTTTATTCAATCAACGGGACTTAGTTTAAAATTTTTTAATTTTATAACTTTTCAAAAAATAAGAAATATATCGAATTATTTAATAAAAAGAAAATATTTTACAAAATTTTACATTTTATTAATTAAATTCTTGATTTTATATACTCACAAGAAAGATTCGTAAAATTTACACGTATTTAACTTATAGTATAAATATTTTATTATTGTATTTTATAAACATTTCAGTAAATTTTATTTTTATGAATATTTTTACATGCAAAAAAATATTATGATAAAATATTGTCATTAAAGTTTGATGTCACTGAAGTGCTTGTAAAATTCATCATAAAATAATTTTACTAACATGTAAATTTTCCGAGTAGTTTTTTGTGTGTTCGTAAATTATTTTGAAAATGGAAAATAATGTATCAAAAAAAAAAAGAAAAAAAAAATTATGGACTATGCATAGAGGTGGCCCACTGCTTCGAGTTCAAAAACAATGTTTATGTCTCTTGAAAAACAAAAAAAAAAAAAAACGCAGCTTCGTTAATGGTGCAGTGTTTTATGCGCGACCCAAAGAATAACGTATCTGTCTACAATTCTTATAATTTCATTTGTTTTTTTCTTTTTTTTTTTTTGCCTCTTTTAAAGTTGTAATAAGATACGATATTCAAATATTTTTAAATTTAAAGTCAAAGAGGACGTCGAAAATAGGAAATTACTTTTTTTTCTCAAAAATTAATGGAGAATTTTTCCTTTGAAAATTTGAGTTTAGAATTGAAAATTAGTTATATATTCAAAAAATATTCTGAATATTAATTTAAAAAAAAAAAAAAAACTAGTGACTTCGATTCTGTTAAATAAATGAAAAAAAAAGTTATATTCGAAAATTTTTAAAATCAAGGAAAAATAATAAACAAAGACGAATAAATAATGCCAAAAATTAATTTTTTAGAATTTTTATATTTGAAACAATTTCATTAAAGATAAAATTTTCTCTTATAATTTTTATTTGTACGAATTATTTTTTGATAGAATTTCCATGAAAACAATTTTTTATATTACAGAATTTTTCTACAACCGAAAATTCACAGAATTTCTATTTTTTTGAATTTTCATTTATAAAAATTTTTGTTTTAATTTTTTTTTCATTTATTTATTATTTTTTCAATTATATAAAATTTCTGTATTATATCGGTTTAATAGAAATTCTATCAAAAAATAATTAAGGCTAAATAAGGCTACATGAAATATTCTATGAAATAAAAATAAAAAATTAATTTTAAAAATTATTATAAAAAAAAAATAATATTTTACAAAGCAATGTCCTTTTTGACTTTATATTGATTTTATGTTTCTAAAGTATAATAAGAACTAGTTTTAAGTATAAAATAATTTTAATAATCTGCGTCCAGAAAAAATAGTTTCAACCTTAAATATTATCCAATAAGCTTTAAATTTGAAATTGATCCTGCTTTTTGTCCTACAGAAATAACAATTCAAAAATTCAAACCTGTCGAACCTGAAACTCCAATATTCCTTTCCAATGGTGATGCAGCTCCCGGTCCCCAACGATTTTCCTTAACTCAACATACGAATTATCATCCCTATCGACGCTAGGTGTTGAAAAAAAAAGAGAAAAACAGAATTCCAATAGTGTGAACGTGGAGAGAAAGAGAGATTTCTGAGCGTGAAAAAGGTGAATAAGTGACCCCTATAAATTCATTTTTTTTTTTTTTCAAATTTCATCCTTTAATTATCCAATAACTATAATTTCTATTTAAATATAGTTTTCATTCTGTAATAATTTATAAAAGTCGTCATCGAATATGATAAAACTTAACTATAAATTTAGATTTTAATTTAAATTATTTAATTTATAAATTAAGTTACTTTATTATTTATCTCAGGAAGGATATAATATTAAGAATATATAGATATAAAGTACGTAGTCTTCCCAATGTGTAATTTTTGATTACTAAATCGTTATTTAAGTTTAATTTACATATATATATATACATTTTTGGTTAAGAAAAAAAATTTTTTTGTCTGCTTTTTTATAATACAGTTTTACGTTAAAATAGAAAAAGCGTTTTTCTCTTTTTTTAAAGTTGTCTTTCCCCTGATATGTTTAATTATAAATTAAAATTCAAGTCGAAGTCATATTTTTCATAAATTAAAAAAATAAAAAAAAATAAATTTTTTTTTTGAAAAATTGATACCTAATAACATTAATAATAAGTATAATATTAGATTAGAAGTTATTGTTAATTATTGTAACTGTAAGTAAATTAAGTAATATCGACATCGACCTCATCGATTTCGCCAAGGAAACAAGAGTCACTTTTGTCCAGAGCCTTTTGGAAATGGGACGTTCTTCTCAAAAAAAAAAAAAAACTTCAACACCGAAAACTAGAAAAAAAAGAGTCCAATATTCCCAGGATCCTTGTTCTCCTTATCATTACTTTTTTTTTTTTTTTCTTTCTTCGGACTCCTATTTAATAATATTACTACGTTATTTTTTAAATCAAATCTTAACAGGACCTGTATTAACGACACCACAACAACCAACGAAATCAACAGTTCCTGCAGGAAATGGTGATTCACAAACTGGATTTGGACCCAAAAGAGGTCAAATGGCATCGGCAACATCCAACAATTATCATCCTTATCGAAGATAGAAAAAGTTTTTTTTTTTCACAAAACACATCCATGACAAAAAATGTATTATTTTTCTTTTTTATTATTGCATGGATCATTTTGAGTAAGAAAAAAAAATTCCCAAACTTTTTTTACTTTTTTACGCGGGGAAAAAAAATGGAAAAAAACCCATAAAGAAATTACGAATTTTTTACTTTTATGTGAAAAAAGAAATTTCAAACTTTTTTTTACTTTCAACGGATAAAATACTTTTTTTTAAAAAAAAACCGTTTCTATAAAATTTTTGAGAGGGAGAGAAAAAAATGTTGATCATTTCAATTTTATTATTGTTAATGAAAAAAAAAAGGTATTTTCTTTTAATAATAATTTGATTATTATATATATTAATATTAATAATAATTTTTCTTCAACTCGTTATTGTTTCTCATTAAAAAAAAAAAAAAAATCAAAACGATCCATATAGACACGATTTATTAATAACGAAATATTTCAACTTTATGAAGAAAAATACCAACTTTCAAAAGTATAAACATGAACAAATTTCTGGACTAATTTTTGTAATAATAATGATAATTAATATTAATTGTTATTATTTAATGACTATTATAAACGAATAATAAAGATAAAATGTATTTTTGGTTTTTTTTTAATACAAAGAATAATATAGAATTAAAAATACAAGTGGAAGTAAAATTTTTTCAAATTAAAAATTAATAATATTCAGTTAAGTAGTGAATTTATTAGGGGAACATGATTTTGCCACAATAATCATTAATTAGAATTTTAATTTTAAAGAATTTTATTTAAATATGTAATTATTTTTTAAACTAATTTTTGAATAAAAATTTGATAGAATTTCCTTTTTTTCGGATTTTTACATAAATTACAAAAATTCCAATTCACCGAATTTTAATTTGTCTAAATTTTTATTTGTCCGAATTTTTAATTGATAGAATTTTTAAGACGCCGAATTTCTATTTGTCCGAAATTACAAATGGACGAACAAACAATAGAAAAATTAAAGAGCAATTTTTAAAATTGACCAATCACTTTTTTCTTGATAATTTCTAATTGGTCAATTTTCAAAAATTTCGCCGAAATCTTTCTGTCGATTTTTTGTTTGGTCATTTGTAATTTCGGACAAATGAAAATTCGGCGTCTTAAAAATTGTATTAATTAAAAATTAACAAAAAATAAATTAAAAAATTTTTTTAAAATTAAAAAATCACATAAAATTCTATTAATTGAGAATTCAGTCAAATTAAAAGTCGATTAAATTAAAATTCGTTTTACATAAAAAGTAAAATAAAAATTAAATTTTTATTTATTTATTTTATTTTATTTTATTTAGAACATAACGGGACATGCCCTTTCGTACAAAAGTACGTATAATAAATGATTATAAAATAAAAATTCTGTCTAAAAAATATTCGGTAGATAAAAATTTTGTTCTGTAAAAATCCGTATAATAAGAAAATTCTGTCAAATTTTTATTCGAAAATTGAATATTCGTTTAAAAAATAATTATTTCTAATAAAATTCTTTAAAATTAAAATTCTAATTAATTATTTTTATGGGATAATCATGCGCCCCATTTATTATATATATATATATTCGGTATATCAAAATAATAAATATTTACAATTTAATACATCCATGACAAAAAATGTATTATTTTCCTTTTTTTTATTATTGCATGGATAATTTTGAGTAAAACAAAAAAAATAAATTTCACTTTTTTTGCCGTGGATAAAAATGGAAAACCCGTAAAGAAAGTCCGAATTTTTTTTTTTGCTTTTACAGTTGCAAAAACATTATAAAAAAGAAATTCCAAACTGCTTTATTTGCAACGGATTAAGGATTCTCCCTGGCAATATAAGGAAATGACACAGACTTACCAAATTTTGACAGTTTGTTCATTAGATTGATTTAGGAAGTTGTGATTTTTTTCAGAATTTTTTACCACGTAGTTTTTTAGAAAAAAAAATAAAATATATGACCAATTTAACATGGGCTCTTATGGGAGCGTGTATAAACCATAGGAAAAAAGTGTGATGGAAATGACACAAAAATCTGAAAGTTGGTATACAGGAAGAAAATATGATAAATTTATTAACTGCACAATATAAAGAAAGTTTACCACATAGTTTTTGAGTAAATAAATAATAAAGTTTCATTTTTTGTCATAATAATAATAGTAAGTGTAGCAGGCATGAAAACGTGGCAACGTCGCAACACGTGTTTGGCACGTTTGCGCAGCAACTCGCCGCGAATTTCAAATTGATATTTATATTCAGATATTTTTTTATATTATTTTTAGAAAATAATGGATTAAACTGCAATTTTAATAGAATATTGTATATTATGTTTAATTTGAAAGTTTATATAAATTTAATTCTGATTAATTATTGGAAAACAAAAAGAGTGATAAAAATATACGTACATAACCTCAAATTATAATTAAATATTTTTGTCAAAATAAAATATAGTTCAAAACTACTACAATCACAGTTTTATTTAATTGGATATTTGTTTACTAATTATCATGCAAATTGAAATAAAGTATATAATAAATAAACTATTTATATTTTCCATTTTATTTTCAAATTTTGAGGTGAACGACTTGTATTACAAATTTCTTATAAGTAAATAATCTTATTTTCATTTCAATTTTAAGTGTTTTATGGAAGTTGAACAATTAAATAATAACATATAACAAAAAATTTGAGGTTAGCTGTCAGATCAGGTGTAGGCCCAATCTGTGTTACATACATATATACATACAAAGACCAGTCTTACCAACCTTACATAAACTACGCGACGAGAATGCGACGTTGCCCTGATTTCAAGCACTTTTTAAAAAATTTAATTAAATAGAATTTATAATATTTTAGTAACGAGGAAAGCTTATTATTAATTTATACACCTTTTTCTAAACAATTCTCCTATCAATAAGGACAAGAACCTTACTTATGAAATAAAAATTTATTTTTTCTAAGGTTGCAAACTTGTGAGCCTTCACACGGAAAGAATAGAAACTGTCCCCTTACTCCGCACCCCCCCCCCCCTGGAGAATCCTTAAAAAAACAGTTTTTTATTAAATTTTTTAGGGGAAAAAAAATGTTGATCACTTTAAGTAAATAAATAAAATAAATTTTAATTTTTATTATTGTTACTAAAAAAAAGTATATTTTAATAATAATTATGATTAATAATAATAATAATAATTTTATTTTCTTTAACTTGTCATTGTTTCTTATTAAAAAACAAAACGATCCATAGACAAGATTTATTAATAACAAAATATTAAAACATTCATAAGTACACTGAAAAAGAAGTATCATTGATTAAAGAAAATAGGTTTTCTTGATTTAATACTATTGTTTTTAGTGTATATAAAGCAAAATACTAACATTCAAAAGTGTATGCATGAAAAAGTTTTTGGGATACCTAATTTTTATAATAATAATTGTAACAATATTAATTGTTATTCTTATTTAATTATTATTATTATTATTATTATTATTATTATAAGCGAAAAATAAAAGTAAAATGTATTTTGATTTTTTATACCAAAGAATAATATAGAATTAACAATATTCAGTAAAGAAGTAAATTTATTATATATACGGTACACCAAAAGCATACATATTTACAATTTTGGACCTTTTTTTGTTTATTCGAAAAAGACATTGAGTTCAAAAATTTCATTAATATAATAACTAGTTATTTTTTCATTTTCAAATTGTTTACTTGCTTTTTTTGGAACATTGATTGTTAGTTTTTTTTCACATTTTAGAAACAATCGAGCTAAAAAGCGATTTTTTTACTGGCGTAGAGTTTCATATATATTATATTATATTCTCTCTATAAATATGTCATGGATTTTTCAAGCAGCTTTTTATAAATTTTTTTTTTTAATTTATTTTTTCAATGCACATTGAGAATTGAACCGTTTTCCATTATAAAAAAAAAGTTATTGTAATAAAGTTACGAAGAAAAAAATTCCAGTAGGTTAAAGTGTAAAATTTTGTTGAAAAAAGAAATTAATTTTATAATTTTAAATTTTACATAAAGTAAATTAATAAATAGGTATATACGATTGTTTAACATAAAAGAAATAGCTAAATGTATAAGCGTACATATACAATACACATCCAATTTCAATGTTTCGAATATATTCTGAAAAATATTCGCACTTTTATGAAATTTTATCTTTTATTGAATTTTTCATTTCATAACGTTATAGAGAAGTCTGTTGTTTTTTTATCAATTTTTTTTTTAAATGGAAAAAATAATACATAAAAGAAACGAGATTCACTTTTTTGTTTTTTTTTGTTTTGAACAACCAATGTATCTTTTTCAATTGAAATTCATATTTACGTTATTGTACATCTATGACAATGTTGTTTGCTCGATTTTGACTTTTCCTCGAATGCTTTGTCCTGATGTTTGCGGATGGATTCTAAAAATGCAAAATAGGTGTTTTTATACATTTATTTATAATGCGTAGGTATTATTTAATATTACGTTAATATTTTAAAAGAAGGGTGTGAAATTTAAAAATCCATAGAAATTTACAATTTTGACAAGAGCCAATTTTTTTGGAGCTAAAATTATTCTATATTTATTAAAATTTTTTTAAAAATAATATCTTTTTGAGAATTTATAAATTTTTATTTTTTAAAGATATGAAATTAGTTTTTAGAATGCATACAATTTATTGTTCGAAATGATAGAAATAATATTATCGATTATTGAGAATTATGAAAAAATTAACAAAAATTAAATTTATTCCCCCAAAATTAACGTAAATTTCGATGAATTGAAATTTTATTAATCCCCCCTGTTGAAAATTCCGACCTCGTTTACGACGTCGTATTCTAAGTAGTTTGCGACGTAGTAAACGACGTAGTAAACGACGTAGTAAACGAAGTAGTAAACGACGTCGTAAATGAAAGCGGAATTTGGGATAGCAAACTACGTCGTTTACTACGTCGTTTACTACGTCGTTTACGATGTCGTTTACTACGTCGTTTACTACGTCGTTTACTACGTCGTTTACGATGTTGCAAAAATTATTTTAATATTATTTATTTAGTAATTTAGTAAGTCCAATATCCAATATTAAAAATTTTAATAATAATTTAAAAAAAAATTTATTTTTATTATTTTTTTATAGTTATTATTATTATTTTATTTTTAATATTTAAATTAAAATAAAAAAATGGTCATCAAAATATTAGTGAAACCATTTCTTCCAAAAAAGAATTTGTCTCAAATCCAATAAAGGAGAGACATCGGGCAGAAAAAAATTTCTACAAAAAAAAAATTTTCGATCACTGCTTATATACCAATCTAAAGGCACCTCAACTGCGAGAAACAGTTATGATGTTCGCCCTCCCTGTGGCGTTGAGCGAACTTAAGTCCAGAGCTGAGCCATCAGCGCAGCGCGGAAACATTTGAAAAATTTGATTTTATTAGATATTTTATTTTATTTTAAATATGACAAATAATTAACTTAATAAATAATTAATGTCATAAATAATTATTAATAACATAATGTCATACTTAATAATTCGTTAATTAATTATTTTTAACGAAAATTTGACAAAAACAAAATTTGTTGGCCAAAAAAAATATTACCATTAAAAAATAATTTTTTTGTTAAAATTTCGTAGTAAAAAAAATTTTTTCAAGACAATTATTTGTGACCTTAAAAAATATCACGATGAGAATATAATTAACAAAAAAAATTACTCGTAGCACAGAAAAAATTTCACCATGAGAAAATAATTTTTTTTTAATTTTATTTGTAAAAAATTTATTGGTAGCTCAAAAAAAATATCACGATGAGAAAATAATTTTTTGTCAAATTTTCTCTGTAAATAAATTAATTAACTAAATAACGTACCGTAAAACGGGGTTATTTCGCTCATTGCGGGTAAATTCGCTCACCCACTTTTATGCTTTATTTCAGCTTTAAAATAAAGTTTAATACCTTTATTAGCAGGTAAAAATGTTAAATTTGTTAATAGAAATACTAAATTTTAGTTTTTAATCAAATTTAAAGCAAAAAAATGGGTGAGCGACTTTACCCGCACTGAGCGAAATAACCCTGTTTTACGGTAATTATTATAGTTACTTAATTTTTTACTACGAAAATGTAACAAAAAAATATTTGTAGAACAAAAATAATATCAAGATGAGAAATTTAATTATCTTTAAATTTTCTCTGTAAAAAAAATATTTTGTGGCCTAAAAAAATTATATCACGATAAGAAAATAACTTTTTTGTCAAATTTTCTCTTAAAAACAATTAATTCACTAAATACCGTAATAAATCGTTGATTTTTTTTACTACGAAAATTTACCAAAAATTTATTCGTAGCACAAAAGAATATCACAATGATAAAATAATAATTTTTTTTCAAATTTTCTTTGAAAAAAAAAATTCGTGTTTTTAAAAAAAATCACGATGAAAAATAATTTTGTTGTAAAAATTTCTCTGTAAAAAAATTTAACAAAAAAATTATACGTAGCACAAAAAAATATTACGATGAGAAATTTACTTATTTTAAAATTTTCTCAATAAAAAAATTATTTGTGGCCCAAATAAAATATCACGATGAGAAAATAATTTTATTTGTCAAAATTTCTCTGTAAAAAAAATTAATTAAATAATTATATAATAATAAAATGTTTGGTCTGTCTTTCTGTCCTAACTTGAAGTTGGCCTTTTCTGATTTCACGTATTTTTTTGAATATAGTAATCTTATGACGTGTCAAATTTTGACAATTCTTTTTCTCATTTTTGCCAAAGTTGTATAATTGTGTTTCCAAATTTCGGAATAAGTTTCTTTAAAATTCCAAATTCGAAAATTCAATTCACGAAGCTGAAGTACACAACGTTTACCAACGAAAATTTTTTTAAAGTTGTATATTGATTCAAAAATTGTATACAAATACAAAAAATTTATAATGAGAAAAAAGATGCGCCAGGAAATTTCGTACAAGATAGTAATTTGAAAAAAATTTATTTTTAAGGTACCAGGGGCCAACGATTACCTATTAAATATTAATTATAAAAACACAGGCCTCGAATCAACTTAAAGACACAAAACAGTCGTTTTAGTCGATTTATATTCCAAAAAAAAGTGGATTTGTTTTTCATTTTAACAAAAATATTTTACAGATTTTTAAATAAAAATTTTTTTTTAATAATAATCCTTTTCGAAGGGTTAAAGTTGAAATTTTTAGAAATAATTAAATTTCAAAAGATATAGTTAATTTTCAAACAATTATTAAATTTTACAGATCTAAAAATAATTTATCAAACAATTTTTGGAAAACATTTTTTAAATTTAATTGAATTTTCAAAGATTTAAAATTGAGATTTTTGAAATTAATTGAAACTTTAAGTGTTTTGTAATTAAAATTTTAGATGATTTCACTAAAAATTTATTAGAAAATGCGGACAAAATACAATAATTTGAAAATCATTTTTAATTGAAAAATGGTTTCACATAGTTGAATTTTCAAAGAATATTATTAAAATAGTTAAAAATAATTGAATTTCCTTAGAGTTATAATTGAAATTATTAAATTTCAAAAAAAAAAAATTTCGATGGAAAATTTTAGAAATTTTAGATGCTTTTAAATTCAAATTATTGAAAATTCAATTAATTTTGAATTAAAATTTTTGAGAATAATGAAATTTAATTTTGATTTTAAATTTGGAAAATAATTGTACTTCAGTTCATTTTGAATTAAAAATTTTGGGAAATACTTGAATTTTACTTGAAATTTTTTATAATAATTTAATTTAAGTTCATTTTTGATTGAAAATTTGGATAATTAATTTTGAATAGAAATTTTAGAAAATAATTGAATTTTATTTCATTTTAAATTGAAAACTTGGTAAATAATTAAATTTTAAATTGAAAATTTTGGATAATTATTGAATTTTAATTGATTTTGAATTAAAATTTCGGGTAATAATTGAATTTTAGTTTATCTTGAATTGAAATTTTTAAAAAATAATTCAATTTTATTGTGATATTTTTTTTTAAATTATAAACAATTGTTAAATTTCATAAAAATTTTAATTGAAAAATAATTTTGATATAATTGAATTTGTGATGTATTTCATTAAAATTATTAAAAATAATTAATTTAGTGAAGAATCATTTTAGTTCAAAATTTGTTAAATAATTGAATTGAAGAAGATCTGAAGAAGATCTACATTTTATACCAAAAAAAATGTATTTTATTTACATTTTCTTTTCAAATGTAAAAAACAAGTCGCATTTTATTAAAATAAGTTGATAAAAGTCGTATTTTTGAAAAAAGTCGGAAAAAGTCGTATAATCCGAGGCCTGTAAACATATAATTTTCATTATTATCATTTAATATGTTATAATATTCTAATAAATTAAATTATTATTAATAATATTAATCTTTAATTTCTTTATAACAAATAATTAAATCCTCAATTTGGCGCGCTTGCGCGCGTTTAATTTTGCTAGTTAGCTTAATAATAAATTAATTAATTTTTTTATTACGAAAATTTAACCTGGTAATAAATGTATTAAACTTTATTTTAAAGCTGAAATAAAGCATAAAAGTGGGTGAGCGAATTTACCCGCAATGAGCGAAATAACCCCGTTTTACGGTACGTTATTTAGTTAATTAATTTATTTACAGAGAAAATTTGACAAAAAATTATTTTCTCATCGTGATATTTTTTTTGAGCTACCAATAAATTTTTTACAAATAAAATTTAAAAAAAATTATTTTCTCATGGTGAAATTTTTTCTGTGCTACGAGTAATTTTTTTTGTTAATTATATTCTCATCGTGATATTTTTTTAGGTCACAAATAATTGTCTTGAAAAAATTTTTTTTACTACGAAATTTTAACAAAAAAATTATTTTTTAATGGTAATATTTTTTTTGGCCAACAAATTTTGTTTTTGTCAAATTTTCGTTAAAAATAATTAATTAACGAATTATTAAGTATGACATTATGTTATTAATAATTATTTATGACATTAATTATTTATTAAGTTAATTATTTGTCATATTTAAAATAAAATAAAATATCTAATAAAATCAAATTTTTCAAATGTTTCCGCGCTGCGCTGATGGCTCAGCTCTGGACTTAAGTTCGCTCAACGCCACAGGGAGGGCGAACATCATAACTGTTTCTCGCAGTTGAGGTGCCTTTAGATTGGTATATAAGCAGTGATCGAAAATTTTTTTTTTGTAGAAATTTTTTTCTGCCCGATGTCTCTCCTTTATTGGATTTGAGACAAATTCTTTTTTGGAAGAAATGGTTTCACTAATATTTTGATGACCATTTTTTTATTTTAATTTAAATATTAAAAATAAAATAATAATAATAACTATAAAAAAATAATAAAAATAAATTTTTTTTTAAATTATTGATTTTTTAAATTATTATTAAAATTTTTAATATTGGATATTGGACTTACTAAATTACTAAATAAATAATATTAAAATAATTTTTGCAACATCGTAAACGACGTAGTAAACGACGTAGTAAACGACATCGTAAACGACGTAGTAAACGACGTAGTAAACGACGTAGTTTGCTATCCCAAATTCCGCTTTCATTTACGACGTCGTTTACTACTTCGTTTACTACGTCGTTTACTACGTCGTTTACTACGTCGCAAACTACTTAGAATACGACGTCGTAAACGAGGTCGGAATTTTCAACAGGGCCTTCCATTGATAAGGAAAAAATAAATAAATAAATAATAATAATAATAAATCTTTAAAAGTCATGTAATTTTTATTTAAAGAAACCATAAATTGCATATCAAAATTTTACTTTTTTATGAAGGTTGAACCCATTAACATAACCTCGAACTAAAAAGTAGTTTTTAACAGAACTAAAAATATATTTAAAATTGATTTTACCAAAATTCAAAAGATCCAGTTGTACAATTTTCAAAAAAATATATTTTAAGTTAAAATTTATTGTTAAATAATAATTAATAAACATTTCATATTTTTTCTTAAAAATTAATGAACAAGAATTTTAATTTTTATCCAATTTTTAAAAACAGTTTTTCTCTTTGAAAGATTTTGTACAATTCTGATTTTAAGTTAAATTGTTAGTTAGAGAAAAAAGAAATTAGTCATGGAAAAGTTAGGGAATTTTGAAAATAAAACTCTGCAGTCACCCTGCTTTCAGTACAAAAAAAGTAATACAACTTTTTTTAAATTAAAAAATTTGCACCTTTTTTCCTATTTAAAAATTTTAATAATTATATTATTTCTTAATTTTTCAAAATTGTGAGTTTTTAAAATTATTTAAAAAATATATATATAGGGGGGAGAGGGAGTCAGCATGGTTGGGCCACCCCTGTGTTTATGGCTCTAGCACACTGGCGCCCTCTATTTTATTATGCAAATACTTGCTAGTGATGGCAACTAACCTTTCACGTCAGTTACAGTAAAGTGCAATTGCAATAAACATTTAATTTTTCAAGAAAACCAAAATAAGTGCTAAAATGACAACCCAAAACTTTTCCACAGTGACAGAAAAGTCGATTAAATAACAGAAGGAATGAGCAAACAACAAAATAAAATGACAGAAATTGATCATTACAATGTAATTTAAAAGTTTCAAGCATTATTTAGCGTTATTGTTATTATGTTTGTTTAACGTGTTTTTGTTTATGACGCCGTTCGTCATGGTTGGGCCACTCACCAATTTTCTAATATTATCATACGTCCAGACATCGAAAATTCAATTTTTTATAGAAAAAAAGAGTCAAAAATGCCATTTCTATTAAAAAATCATTGATTTTAATAAATTTTGGTACTATTTTTTAACTTTTTAGACCAATTTCGCGAATAATCGGATTTTGGTTCAGGGGGCTAATTTTATTTTAATTTCAGATTTTATTTTATCATTTTCAGCTCAATTTCAGTATTTTTCTGCCATTTGCGGGTCCTTTTTGGTCAATTTCCTTCATTTCATATTGATTTACTACAGTGGCCCAAGCATCAAGCCCTGGCCCAACCTACACGACAAAATTTTTTTTTTTTTAAATGCCTGTAACTTTTACACTTTTGACCCAATCATTTTCTGATGTTCAGAAGAAACATTCCACTTTAGTGTATCTTTCCAATCATATACGAGAGAATTTAAAATTTATTCTAAAACGGAAGTTATGGGCACAAGTCAAAAACTGTCCCAACCATGCTGAAACTCCCCTATATGGAGTGTTTTAAATTTTAATTTACAATTAATTGATGAAACTTACCAGCGGCTGTCTTCCTGCCAATTGCACATAGAGCTTCAAGTAGTTCTTTCATGATATTGACCTCGGGATTAAGGCCGGAAACCCAGATTAACAGCATCCGGTATCCATGCTCCTTGTAACTCGAAGGACCTACGAGCGCATCTTTATCGTCCATTTCATAAGGCTGCTCCTCTCATTCTTTACAGGAACATCACGAGGTGCAAATCACGAAGTGCTAAGCTAACTAACTCCAAAGTTATTCGATTCTCTCGTTTTTTCGTGGAAATTGGAATTTTTAAAAGATATCAATTATTTCTATTTTTTTTTTTTTTTTGAAAATTTTAATTATAAACATAGATATTTTATTTTAAATCGTATTTACTTCTGAACTAAAATTTTAATAAAAATGTTTATTTATTTGCATTAAAAATTGTAATGGGTTTCTAATTTGTTTTTTATAATCCATATTTTTATTATGTTAAAAATATAATTATAATACATTAGAGTAAGTGTGCACATGGTTTAACTATTCCAATTTTTGGACAAATATTATATCTAATATTTCTGAGTATACAGCTTTTTCAAGGTATTTGAAAATATTATTTTAAACTTTAAATACTTAAGAGAATTATTACCTTAAAAGCTGTTCATTAAAACAATTATTATTTTAATTATCTATTAATGAAAAAAAATTAGTACATTATTTTAATAAGGTTTCAATTTTTCTATAAATGTCTAAATTGTACAATTTAAATCAATAAACGAGACCAGTAAACTAGATCACTAAATTGAATCGGTCAACTAGATTATTAAACTAGATAATACTAGATCATTAATCTAGATCATAAATCTAGATCACTAATCTAGATCAATAATCTAGATCACTAATCCAGATCACTAATCTAGATCATCAATCTAGATCACTAACCTAGATCATCAATCTAGATCACTAATCTAGATCATCAATCTAGATCACTAATCTAGATCAATAATCTAGATCACTAATCCAGATCACTAATCTAGATCAATAATCTAGATCACTAATCTAGATCACTAATATAGATCACTAAACTAGATCACTAATCTAGATCGCTAATCTAGATCACTAATCTAGATCACTAATCTAGATCACTAATCTAGATCACTAATCTAGATCACTAATCTAGATCACTAATCTAGATCACTAATCTAGATCACTAATCTGGATCATTAAACTGGATCATTAATCTGGATCATTAATCTGGATCATTAATCTAGATCACTAATCTAGATCACTAATCTGGATCATTACTCTGGATCATTAATCTAGATCACTAATCTAGATCATTAATCTAGGTCATTAATATAGATCATTAATATAGATCACTAATCAGGATCATAAATCTGGATCATTAATCTAGATTACTAATCTAGATTATTAATCTAGATAATTAATCTAGGTCATTAATATAGATCATTAATCTAGGTCATTAATATAGATCATTAATCTAGATCATAAATTTAGATCACTAAACTAGATCACTAATCTAGATCACCCTCGATCATAAATCTAGATCACTAATCTGGATCACTAACCTGGATCATTAATCTAGATCATTAATCTAGATCATTAATCTAGATCATTAATCTAGATCATTAATCTTGGTCATTAATATAGATCATTAATATAGATCACTAATCAGGATCATAAATCTGGATCATTAATCTAGGTCATTAATATAGATCATTAATCTAGATCATAAATTTAGATCACTAAACTAGATCACTAATCTAGATCACCCTAGATCATAAATATAGATCACTAATCTAGATCATAAATCTAGATCACTAATGTGGATCATTAATCTAGATCACTAATCTGGATCACTAACCTGGATCATTAATCTATCATTAATCTAGATCATTAATGTAGATCACTAATATGGTTTATTTAATCTAGATCACTAATCTAGATCATTAATGTAAATCATTAATCTAGATCATAAATCTAGATCACTAATCTAGATCATAGATCTAGATCACTAATCTAGATCACTAATCTGGATCATTAATCTGGATCATTAATCTGGATCATTAATCTAGATCACTAATCTAGATCACTAATCTGGATCATTAATCTAGATCATAAATCTAGATCATAAATCTAGATCATAAATCTAGATCATTAATCTAGATCACTAATCTGGATCATTAATTTATAAAATAAATCTAGATCACTAATCTAGATCATTAATGTAGATCATTAATATAGATCATTAATATAGAACACTAATCTGGATCATTAATCTAGATCATAAATCTAGATCACTAATCTAGATCATAAATACATCATTAATCTAGATCATAAATTTAGATCATTAATCTAGATCACTAATCTGGATCATTAATATAGATCATTAATATAGATCACTAATCAGGATCATAAATCTGGATCATTAATCTAGATTACTAATCTAGATCATTAATCTAGGTCATTAATATAGATCATTAATCTAGATCATAAATTTAGATCACTACACTAGATCACTAATCTAGATCACCCTCTATCATAAATCTAGATCACTAATCTGGATCACTAACCTGGATCATTAATCTAGATCATTAATCTAGATCACTAATCTGGTTTATTTAATCTGGATCACTAACCTGGATCATTAATCTGGATCATTAATCTAGATCACTAATCTAAATCATTAATCTAGATCATTAATCTTGGTCATTAATATAGATCATTAATATAGATCACTAATCAGGATCATAAATCTGGATCATTAATCTAGATTACTAATCTAGATCATTAATCTAGATCATTAATCTAGATCATTAATCTAGATCATTAATCTAGGTCATTAATATAGATCACTAATCTAGATCACTAATCTAGATCACTAATCTAGATCACTAATCTAGATCACTAATCTAGATCACTAATCTAGATCACTAATCTAGATCACTAATCTAGATCACTAATCTAGATCACTAATCTAGATCATAAATTTAGAAAATAAATCTAGATCACTAATCTAGATCATTAATATAGATCATTAATCTAGATCACTAATCTGGATCATTAATCTAGATCATAAATCTAGATCACTAATCTAGATCATAAATACATCATTAATCTAGATCATAAATTTAGATCATTAATCTAGATCACTAATCTAGATAACTAATCTGGATCATTAATCTAGATCATTAATCTAGATCACTAATCTGGTTTATTTAATCTAGATCACTAATCTAGATCATTAATGTAAATCATTAATCTAGATCATAAATCTAGATCACTAATCTACATCATAGATCTAGATCACTAATCAAGATCACTAATCTGGATCATTAATCTGGATCATTAATCTAGATCATAAATCTAGATCATAAATCTAGATCATAAATCTAGATCATTAATCTAGATCACTAATCTGGATCATTAATTTATAAAATAAATCTAGATCACTAATCTAGATCATTAATGTAGATCATTAATATAGATCATTAATATAGAACACTAATCTGGATCATTAATCTAGATCATAAATCTAGATCACTAATCTAGATCATAAATACATCATTAATCTAGATCATAAATTTAGATCATTAATCTAGATCACTAATCTGGATCATTAATATAGATCATTAATATAGATCACTAATCAGGATCATAAATCTGGATCATTAATCTAGATTACTAATCTAGATCATTAATCTAGGTCATTAATATAGATCATTAATCTAGATCATAAATTTAGATCACTACACTAGATCACTAATCTAGATCACCCTCTATCATAAATCTAGATCACTAATCTGGATCACTAACCTGGATCATTAATCTAGATCATTAATCTAGATCACTAATCTGGTTTATTTAATCTGGATCACTAACCTGGATCATTAATCTGGATCATTAATCTAGATCACTAATCTAAATCATTAATCTAGATCATTAATCTTGGTCATTAATATAGATCATTAATATAGATCACTAATCAGGATCATAAATCTGGATCATTAATCTAGATTACTAATCTAGATCATTAATCTAGATCATTAATCTAGATCATTAATCTAGATCATTAATCTAGATCATTAATCTAGGTCATTAATATAGATCACTAATCTAGATCACTAATCTAGATCACTAATCTAGATCACTAATCTAGATCACTAATCTAGATCACTAATCTAGATCACTAATCTAGATCACTAATCTAGATCACTAATCTAGATCACTAATCTAGATCACTAATCTAGATCACTAATCTAGATCACTAATCTAGATCACTAATCTAGATCATAAATTTAGAAAATAAATCTAGATCACTAATCTAGATCATTAATATAGATCATTAATCTAGATCACTAATCTGGATCATTAATCTAGATCATAAATCTAGATCACTAATCTAGATCATAAATACATCATTAATCTAGATCATAAATTTAGATCATTAATCTAGATCACTAATCTAGATAACTAATCTGGATCATTAATCTAGATCATTAATCTAGATCACTAATCTGGTGTATTTAATCTAGATCACTAATCTAGATCATTAATGTAAATCATTAATCTAGATCATAAATCTAGATCACTAATCTACATCATAGATCTAGATCACTAATCAAGATCACTAATCTGGATCATTAATCTGGATCAAAAATCTAGATCACTAATCTAGATCACAAATCTGGATCATTAATCTGGATCATTAATCTAGATCACTAATCTTGATCACTAATCTGGATCATTACTCTGGATCATTAATCTAGATCACTAATCTAGATCATTAATCTAGGTCATTAATATAGATCATTAATATAGATCACTAATCAGTATCATAAATCTGGATCATTAATCTAGATTACTAATCTAGATTATTAATCTAGATAATTAATCTAAGTCATTAATATAGATCATTAATCTAGATCATAAATTTAGATCACTAAACTAGATCACTAATCTAGATCATAGATCTAGATCACTAATCTAGATCACTAATCTGGATCATTAATCTGGATCATTAATCTAGATCACTAATCTAGATCACTAATCTGGATCATTAATCTAGATCATAAATCTAGATCACAAATCTAGATCATTAATCTAGATCACTAATCTGGATCATTAATTTATAAAATAAATCTAGATCACTAAT